CGAAATTGGAACAAATATGAATCTCTTCCAGTTAATCAGCCAAGCAACTTGTCCTTCAATTGAATGAACTGGATAAGATCAGTTACTTTAATAAAACTACTTGTTTCACATAGGTAATTAAAAAATGTGTGTGATCTAGACTAGATCAGGTATTTCAAATATCATCCAATTTCATGCTGAAAAAGTGTTTGTTTTAAAACTTGTTATATATAATACATGGTCTGTGAATAACATACACAAGAATTTTCTAGTTTTATAGCATTAGATCACTATCAGTAACATTACAGTTGTGATTTTCCCCATGGATAGCCTATTTAAAACCTTGTTCTCTTTAGGGTGTTTTGTGGTTGGTTTTTTTTTTTTTTTTTCATTTTCTATGAATTTATTTCCTTTTTCTATGATATGAGCTCTCTAGAAAGTGATTCTCTACTACTAATTGAATGATTCTGTCAAGACCTATGAGATATGTAGCTTACCCCCCACCCCCCTACTTACCCAGGAACCTATTACTACTATTTTCTTAAATCTATTTAGAAAAGTATAAGGGGAAGGCATGAGTAGTCCTGGGCTAACTGGCTTGGAGAGGCTCTGAAACTGTTATATTCTTGGGATAAGTCAACTATTACTGAATTTATGTAGGTTTTGCTTTGCTTTTTAAACATACTTATTTTTCTTTTTACCAGGATCATTTATATAGATGCAGAATTCTTGGAAAAAAGAATACACTTAACACATGAATAAACACTTTATCTAAATCCAACAGGTCACATACTATATTTGCAGTACAGCTAATTAGTGGCTATATTGTTATGTTTGTCATTTGTAATAGTACAAAAAAACTTATTTTTCAGAATTTACCTAGTTTTTAAACATTTCTATTTTTAGGTATCGGATGATCACAGAAGGAGGAGTCAGTATAAATCACAGAACAGTAACGAATCCCGAGAGTGTTTTAGTGGTTGGACAGCATATTCTGAAGAACGGACTTTCACTGCTTAAAATAGGAAAAAGGAATTTCTACATTATAAAATGGCTTCAGCTATGATGAAAAAATGCTTTTCGTTCAAACATTTTATCCATCATGTATTCTCAAGATAGACAAAAAGTTGGCTCCTGAACTTGGACCTTCATTCATGCAAATCAGAAACCTCAAGAGAATATGCTCTAGCCATCACAGTGTGAGTAATTTCTTTATATAGGTCGGGAAATATTAAAACTGTGTGTGCTAGAATACTTCCTTGTCTTCAAACATTGAGGATGACCAAAGAAGCTATGACTTTCAGACTTAAATCTTTCCCAAAAACTGCGTTATGGAAGACTTAAATACTGTCTTTTCTACCCTGTTCTTGTTCTTAGAGTGATGAGAGGAACAGTGAAAAAAAGATGGTATAAGGAACTATGGATGCTTTTATTGTCCACAGGTGAACACACTCCATGGCAGCTGATTTGGTTATTATATCAAGTACAGAACAGGGTCTGTCTTGTGCTGCATAGTCATTCTGAAACCATCAGCACCTCTAATGTTCACTTTAAAAACAAAATATCTAATATTAGGAACTTGTCCATTTTTATTGATTATGTTGTTTAGAAAGTAAACATAGTTCTCCTTTAAAAGTAGAAAAGGTAAATTTTTAGAAATTATAGTAGAAATAGTTGCTTTTCAAATAAAAGAACAAAATCAGTACTTTTGAGATTGTTTCTAATTCAGTTTTTCATTCCTTTCCCCAAATTCAGTATATTAGCCCACAATCTTTTTAAATTCATGGATTACAGTGGTTAGCAGTATTTTATACAATTTGGAAGCTTTGAATCAGTTTTAAGTTTGTTTCTGTATTAAGCATCTTGTAATCTGACATAATTGGAGGAGTTGAGGAGGAAATGACCAGAAAGTTTAATAAAGATGTAAATCTGCACCAAATATCCCATTAATTACAAAATCAAAAGATAAACAAGCAAAGGGAGTTATAGGTAAACTTAAAGGATTCAGATCAGAACTCCGTTTAGCTCGACATAAGACTCTAACCCTCTGAACAGATCTGAACCTCACCCTATGCTCTGCCATCCTCACCATCACGGATAGGCTTGAATCCAGTGGGATGGGCATTGTTAGTCCATTTTGTTGAGGGTCTTTCTCTTGCTGAACCGGTATTTTTCCCAGCATGATGTCTTTTTCCTAGGATTGGCCGCTTGTGACAACATGGCCTAGTATATTAGACAGCACTTTACCATCCATCCCGCCAAGGCGCATCTTGATATATATATGAAGTAATTGAAAGACCATGGTTTGGATCTAGTGTACCTTAGTCTTTAAATATCATTGCTCTTCAGCACTTTGGAGAGGCTCTTGACAGATGTTCCCAATGGAACATGTCTTGATTTCTTGACTATTGTTAGCATGAGTGTTGATGATGCATCAAAGTTAAATGAAACAAACTACTAAGAGCATGATATTGCTTAAGTACATTGGGTTAATTTTGTACAAGTAGTTCCACACCTATGAAACTAAGGTAATAATATCCTTACTGCCCAGACAAAATGGTTCATAATCTGCTTTCTTCTATAAAAAATTATAGGGAGCAAAGCATAGCTTTAGTGTCCAAATTCTAGCTGTTTTCTACCTGGTTTACATGTTCACTGTCATTTCATAAGATGGAGATATAATTCCTCCTTGAGTTGTGAGAATCTAAACTTGTATTCTACAACAGAGCTAACAGTTAAAAACCACCTTTTTTGCACTGCAATCCCAGAGGTGCACGGTTCAGATCCACCAGATGCTCTGCTAAAGAAGGAGGAACAATCGCCTCCTGTACCAGTCAGATGCGATTTGATGGTATACACATAAAAAAATAATAAAACAAACAAAAAAAAACCCCTACTTTTTCCTAAGTAAATTGGCAACCAGTTTTCCTTAGGAAGTATTTATTTATTGACAAACATCAATATCATTTCATAACAGTTTTATTTACAGAGCAACAACATACAGGCATCCATTATAAATGTCAGAGACAGTCTTTACATTTCAGAAGTCAATTTAAGAGCCAACAAAGGAAGAGGGTATTCTCTTTTCCTAAATTATCTGCCTGTTTTCCTTTGTAATATGTGTAGTACTAGTATTACCATAGCTTGTCTTAAGGCTAACACATTTTCATAGTTGATACCTCTTTGATATGCCGGAGAATGATACTTTGTAAAATATTTTTCCCTTACAAATCCAAATCACTAGAAGACCTCGGGAATAATACAGTCATTTAATAATACAATCTGAAATGAGTGGATGGCCATAATTTCCAAACTGATGGTTATTGGTAAGTTATTTTAAAATGTGCTAACAAATTTCTGGCAACATATCCTCTGTTAAGATGTCACTGCTAAATAGATTGAATACTACCTACCTTTAGTTTTTTATGTTTGCATTCAGTGCTCGGTTGTTTCTTAGTAAATTGGTACTATAAACTTAAATGAATAGAACATATTTTCCTTGCCAATATCCTGCATAAGTGTTGGGTCATAATTCAACATTTTATTATCTGCAATATACAATTTGTTTACTTAGGGTGATATTTGTTAAAGATATCTTAAAAATTTCTACAGTATCTTAAAATCTATAATTTAAATTACAGTTGTCAAGAAATCACCTGAGAGAACTTTAATAAAATATGGGTATGTTCTAAACTTTCACTCCAAGCCCCTGAATGCAAGGGGATGGTGTCTAGCCTTTAACAGTGGGTGTCTGAATGTTTTTCTTTAAATAAGCTCCACCAATTATTTCTGTAATTATTCTTATTTTGAGGCACGCAGCAAGAGTAGCTAGTAAATAGTTTTAAGAAATGGAAGAACTATTTCGTTTTAAATCCCACTTCATTGTAAGTGCCCCATTTTAAAAATGTGTCTTGATTACTTCTATTACAGTGTTTACAAACCAAAGGCCATTATTGAAAATTAAATGGAACTGGTCATCATTAGCTAATTCAGCTAGTCAAGTCTTGATGGGATATATTTTTAAGCAGGAACTTGTTAATTCATGCTTCCAGATTTATGTGAGAATCAAAGAGTGGTTTAAATTTAATGCTCTGAGGCAATATGGATCCAGAAGTGGAAATGCTGGGCAGCTAGCTACACATTATATACACTCCATTTACTTTCAGTGTTATAGATCTTCTTGTGCCTTCAGCTGTCTTGCTAACATATGAAAGGTTTCAAAGACGCTAAAAAAAAACCAAAACAACCCAACCCTGTAAGTTGAAGGACAGTGGAAAACAGTGATTGAGTAGCTTGTCAAACCACATCTTTCAAAGCCAGATCAATTTATACAGCACATGCATTATAGATGTATGAAATGTTTTCTTGGTTCTTTCTTCTTGAAGGACTATGGCAGCAGCTTTAAGACAACTAACAAAGATTACATGGGTCATCTTAATCCATAGGCGGAAAATTGCTTGTACTACTAGAATATTAATGGGTCTTTTCATGTTCAAATGAAACTGTCACGGACTTGATGTATTTTATATGTACTGGGAAACCTTAGAAACAGCCATTTATTATTTGGACTAAATGTATAATTTGTTCTGTAATACAAAGAACACTTTTCCATTTATAGCCAGTCCTCACATGAGCATCATATCAATGCAATATACAGGAGTTCATAAATAAAATTCTACTGAAGTAGCTATTGAATTGAGTCAATAGTCTCTAGTTTTATCTAGTTCTCTTCACCAAAGATGAGTCTCTCGAATTTCAGCAATAATTTGACTGGCTCCTTGCAATGCCTGCATCAATTTAAAAAAGGAGGTGAAAATTAGAAATGCTTATTAATTTATCATACCAAAGAATTTTAATTATATGAGACATTTTCTCCTGCTTAAGTATGTTAAGTTTACATCACTAATTTCTTTTCTGATAAATCAAGTACCAAAACCCCTAGAAAATCTGCTGTTTTGGTGTGTATCATCTGAATCAATTCTGACTCACAGTGACCCTGTAGGACAAGCACTGCTCTCCCACAGGATTTATAATCTTTATCAAAGCAGATCACCAGTCATTAACACACTGGAAATGCTGGTAGGTGTGAGCCCTTTATCTTTCAAATAGTGCTTTACCATTGTACTAAAAGGACTCATTTGTTATTAGTGTGTGTCTGTGTGTGTGTGTCTGTCTGTCTGTACACATACATATATAAATATATTGCTTAATGCAGTCATGTATTATGCATCAGAGAGCTGGACAATGACTAGGGAGGATAGAAGGAGAATTGATGTCTTTGAGCTGTGGTGCTGGAGAAGAGTATTGAATGTACCATGGACTTCCCAGAGAACAGATTCATCCTAGAGAGGGTTAAACCGGGCTGCTCCTTGGAGGCAAAGATTCTGGGGCTTCGTCTGACATACTTTGGACATGTTGTAAGGAGGGACAGGTCCTTGGAGAGGGGCATCATGCTTGGGAGGGTGGAGAGATAGCGCAAGAGATAGACCCTCTATGAGGTGGATTAATTCAGTGACTGGGGCAATCGGGATGGGTGTGTCGGAGACAGTGAGTTTGGCAGAGGATAGAACAGGGGTTAGGGCCTTTGTACATAGGGTCGCTGAGTTGCAAGCTACTCAATGACACATAACAACAACAATGTACATGATACAGTCTGTGAAACAGGACATTGTGTTAACACCTTTGCCTGTAGAGTCCTAGGTGCATGGGCATGGCGTTTACTGTGCAGTACAGTGGAGCAGCTCCTGCTGCACGCACCTCAGGAAAGCACTCAGCTGGGTATGGGTACCTCCAGATGTTGCCTCTGCTAAAGCAAGCCTGCTTGCTCATGAGAATCTGCCTAGAGAGGGAACGGTTTGAGCCAAGGGAATCTGAGGCAGGGCTGGAGTGCTCAGCACTCTTAACTTTCTATCTGTATCCTATGAAATAGCAACAAGGAAAATACTGGAATAGACTTGCAGAACTAAAGGAGCTGAAGGGGACCAGGATTGGGAACTTGAACCTGTGTTTTCAATGCCACAGACTAGAAGCATAGCACCAGAGTAGATGGGGGGGCCTCAACATCAAGATGAAGTCACCTTGTGTACTCCATCTACTGGTAGCACTATGTTCTGTAGATAACATGCACTATAAGTAATACCCATACATAGTGTACGTAGGAAACTAACACACAAAGGGATTGCAAAGTCTAGAGGGGGAAAATCCATATATAAAGTATAAAAGTATGTTACATTCCTTCAGGTGTCACTCAGACAGAACTTAAGTGGCACACATCTTACCACCATGGGTTTATGTATATTGCTGTCGGTCACTAGCCAATAGAAGTAGTTCAAACTACTGGACCTTTTAGTTAGCAGCCTTAGCACTTAACCACTGTGCCACTAGGGCTTCTACATATCGAGAGATACATACAATATAGTTATAATGTCACTTAAAAATATATAATCAGTATGGATATAACACACAGATATCTGCAATACAAGTGAATTTAAAAAACAAACCAGTAATACCTTTAACATATCAGCTGCTTCTTTCCTACGCTGTGCCATGTCCTCTGATTCTGTCAGAAGATCATCCAATAAGGATGATTTATACAGTTGTCCTACTAACTCACTCTGAAGAGTATCTTTCACATGATTAACCAAAAAATGCATCACTGCTTTTGGCACACTGGAAAACAAAACAAATTATGATATTTTGGCACTCAGCTTTCCAAAATTTAGGCTTCGGTTCTAAACTCATAAGATAATAAACTTAAGAACACTATATTATTGTTATGTGCTGTGTAGTCAGAATCGAGTTGCAGCTGACCCTCCGACAGGCTTTCAGAGGTAGTCAATTACATGAAGAGACTGCCCAACTTTGTCCCAAAGAGTAGTAGCTGGTAGATTTGAACTGCCTGTCTATGCTACTTTAAGCAATTCCTTACTTAACATATAAAGACCCTTTATATTTTTACTTCATTGTTGTCAACTTTTTAAAAGCCACAAGCCTTTGCCATTTCTTAAAGCAGCTCCCTGGAGTCTTTTTCCTAGTTCCCTTCCATCTCGGTCATTATTGCTTATGTCAAAATTCTACAAAAAGCATTATTTCTAAAAAAAAAAAAAAAGCATTATTTCTATAGCCAAAAAAGTAGAAAAGACCCACATGCCCATCAATTGATGAATGCATCAGCAAAAATAATGTATCTCTGTATTATGATTCAGCTATTAAAAAGGGCTAATTCATGCTATATATATACTGGGTAAACCTTGAAAACATTATGCCAAGTGGAAGTGGAAGATGGTATATACAAAAGGCTGAATTTTGTAGAAGGCAGTCCACTTAAATAAATGCTGAGAATAGGTAAATTCATAAATACAGAAAGTCGATTTATAATGACTAGTTAATAGGTGATTAAAAAGGGCAGATGGGAAATGACTGCTAATGAGCACGGAGTTTCATTCTCCTTTAGGTGATGAAAGATTTCTGGACTTTGTAGGGTTGGTTATACATTTTTGTGAATATATAAAAAACTATTGAATAGCATACTTTTAAGGACAACTTTTATGGTATTTGAACTGCACCTTGTTTAGAAAAACAACCACAGAGAATGGGAATACAAGACAAAAACCCAACATTCATAATGCACTAGGAAGCTCATGTGACTCACTTTACTATTCACTAAGGTGGCTTGGAACTGAACCCTAATCTCCAGGTCTGCTTCTATTGGGCATTGAGCTTTTATTCTTCTAAGGAAGACCTTTCTCTTAAGGGGATGCCATATTTACAGACAGTGAATGCAAATTAACTCCCACAACTAGATCACTTTACACAACTAGATTTTTATTTTCCCCATCTTAGTACCTGAAATGATATCACTGTCAGTATGAAGAAGAAACACTAACCAGTGGACACATGAGAAGACAATGTGAGTTAGAATGAAGAAGTATATTATTTCCTAGTAAGAGATATTTAATTTCGACACTTTGGAGAACCAAGTCAAATTTTAAAAAGTTAAGGCAATTTATTAGCCAAAGTGACTTAGGAAAGTACTAAAAATCTAAGTAAAACTTTTTCTTAAATGACCAAAAATGTAAGTAGCCAGAAAGGACAAAAGAATATTAACAGCTTTTTCTTACTGACATACTGTGTGTTAGTTATTGCATGTTAACACAGTGTCTAAATCTTAACTCCAAAACAGTTACATTAGAGATCAATTTGATTAGACTAAAATTTTAAAACTTTTTTCAAAATCATTAAATCACCTAATATTTTAGATATTTTAGTTTTATTTACGTTAAATAATACTAACCTGTCCTGAATATTCTTTCTGACAATCAGAAAATAGGATTTGATGAGTCGTTCAATCACCTCGCAATCTCGCTGTTCGCGGGCAGATAGTTTTCGTGCAACCGGAACTGGCTAAAGGGGAGAAAGCAACTATGAATTCCATTTTAAGAATTGAAAAGTTAAGTAAAATAAAAATGGAAACTTATAGTTCCTTTTGGCTTTTGAAGTGTTTTCCTATTAATTATTTCATTAGTTCCAAAATAATCTTCATGGCATACCACATCCAGCAAATTGACAGCGTGGCCTTTTTGTGGACTAGCTGGCATAATTGGAATTGGTTTTGATTTCTCTTCAGCTAATAATTCTTCAGCCTTTGAAGTTTTCAACATTCCTCTCCAGTTGCCAGTTGTTGGTTCTTGAACAGCATCTCCTACCCCACCACTGCCAGATGCAACCTGAAAATAACAAGATATAGCAAAACCTGTACCACCTATGATCTGACATAAAGGTTAAACAAAAGTGCATTTTCTTTGATAGTAGTCAAGGAGAATATGTATCCAGTACCCATCTGGAATTTAATCTATTCAGAAAAATCATGGGATCAGAGAGACATCCTGATTGGAATACATAATGAACCCTGGTCTATCTAAATGAAGAGACTTAGTGGAGATTATTTCAGGTCTTTAGTCAACTAAGTCTTATTTCTTTCATCATTAACTTTTCAAAAATAGCTTAAATAGCCTCTTTTAATGGCTGAAGCATACCACATAAATATATTGCATTTTTGTTGATACATTCATCTAACTTTTGATGACATTTGCTACTTTTTCCAAAAACTTTTATCTTCTGCCACTCCTCAAACATTAGATTAGGAAAAGGAAAAAGTAAAAATATCAATCTCCTTTCTTCAACACATTCTCAAACACTGTTGAGCTCTGTATAATTACTCTGAAAGTTTTTGTCTCCAAATATAAGAGCTTATACATTTTTCAAATTGATTTATATTCTCAATAATCAAAATACCATAGGGTAAAAGTAGAAATTCTTTGATAAAAGAAATTACACTCACTGCTCTGAATCTGACAGTTAGTTAAACTGCCTAGAATGCAGAACTGAGTCAGAAATGACTTCTAGCTGCACCTCCGTTGGATTTCTGAGGCTGTAAATTGCAGGGAAGGAGAGTACCTGTTTTGATCCCATGGAGCCCCTGGTAGATTTAAACCATCAGAGAAGAAAAGTGTTTGGGATAGCAGCACAACTCCATATGAACTACTATATTTCTCTCACTGTGTTAGTTTTGGAGATCATTCTGAATTGAAACACTTGCCAGAATTTGTCTTTAATATGTCAGCTAAGCTACATATGGGAAATATTTTACATCATCATTTATAATATTATAAATTAATTTTAAACTGAACAAGTATATGTCAAACTAGATATGAATGCCGTATCAGATGAAATCTTAAGGAAAAGTGAACAGTAATAATGCCATGAGTGAAATGAAAATGTGTGCAAAGATTTTAAGCTCTGAGGACAGTGGGCTGAGAGACTACAAGACATAAGTCTTTGTATGAGGTTCATAACCTTGGAATTGGACAAAAAGTAAAGAGCTAAATTGCAGAAGAAGTAATAGATCTGGATATTTTATATATTATTTCCTCCTAAAAATATTACCAATCATAATTATAGTCTCAAACTCTCACAGTCCTCATTTGTTTTGAATTTGCTTAAGCTGCTAAAGCACATGTTAAAGCAATATAGTTAGGATGACAAGTGCAAACTAAAATAGAAGCATCAGAAATTATCCATTAGTAGTATTAGACAGAACTCAGACAGAACCTTTAAAACTGAAAAGTCCAATAGTACAATTTTCACCTCTGAAAACTTAATTACCTGACAAAATACTAAATTCAAGTCTTTTTTAAAGATTATTTTTGAAGGTAATAGAAAACAGTGGAAATGGCCATTATTAACAAAAAGTTAGAACTAGAATTAATGCCATCTTAGAAAAATTATATTAACAGGACATTAAGAATGTAAGACAGACAACAAGAGGTAGATGCCACTGTTACAAACAAGTTCTTCAATGGTTTTTAAGACAATGTTTCAGTGAGAACTGTAAGTACCAACATTTCCATTCTGAATCAAGAAACTCACATTTTTAGTTTCTCTTCTGCTGTCCTGAATTAACTGTTAAAAGATATGTTAAAACATGCAATTTAACAAGCAAAATTTAAATATCATTGGCTTGATACTTAAAAAGTATAGGATAATCTTCAAGTTACATTTTTGTGTGCATCTTCCATATTGCAAAGCAAAATGTCAATGATAGTTTATAAAGTATGCACATTATATAATTTTAAATTTTCCCTTAGATTGAATTTTTCAACCATTTTGTATAGATTATAGTTAATCTGATCCTACACAATATCCCATATTAATACACTGCTGTTCTAGGTATTGTTTCCAGATGATGACGTTGCACCAACCAGTTATTCATGCGCTTAGATTAAGAATCAGAACAGACCTTGCCATCAGCCTCAGCAGAAGCAGCAGGGGAGGGCTCCTGGGAGGCAGGTGCCAAAGCACTTGGAACTTTAGAAGACTAAAGGCAAAAAATGCAGGGGGAAAAGATCAAGGATGCCAAAAATGCATTCAGATACATTTTATAAATGTGAATTTTTTGCCCTTCTGTAACAAAATAGAAAAATAACATGAAAAACAAAAGTCATGGAAAGTAAAATTATTGTGCCTAATTTCTTGTCCTTTTGTCACCTAAATTTAGAGATGCTTTTCTTCATATGAATACCTAAGGAAAATCTAAATCCAAAACCCCCATTTTTATTTTCGGAGTTTGATAGGTCATTTCTGGTAAAGAATTCTAACAGATTTTTATATACAAGCATTTTAAAATAGAAAACTATTATAGATAACTGCAGCTAACTAAAACCTCTGTATATATTGTTTTCTTCCCTCTTCAAAACCCCTCTTATAAAGTTTATTAGTAATGTTAATGTTAACTAATTTTATTCTACAAAGTTGAAGTCACTAGCTATAAACTTTAAAACTCATCTTTTAACATGAATTCCAGTGTTTTCAAAACTACTGTCCTTACTCAATGCTTACTTTAAACCTGCATACCTTTACTCAAGGAATACTTCCAGGAGAGTATCAAAGAGAGAAGAGCTAAGTAATAGTCTGTGGCATACCAATCCACCTACGTATTGGGAATATAGTTAACAAGTGTTTTTTACCTTGTCTCGTGATACAGATGAAGGCAATTCTCTTGCTAGCCGGTTTCTCCTTTGTTCCTAAACAACAAGATCAAGCAAAATAGAAGTGATTATCAGTATTGAAACAGAGGCTTACTACACAGACTGTTCAAATGAATTGAAAAGTGTAGAATAACTTACAGGTACATCCTCTCACTGTTGAAATGCATGCCCATAATTAATTACATGTAAAGCAATAAGAACTTATTTAATCCAACATTTCTAAATCTTTTTTTTCATTCCCAGGATAGCTGAGGGATACAATACAGGGTAACAGTAGCTCCCTATATTAGGTATCCTCGGTGCACTGACAACTCCTCTGCCTGTTCATTGTTTAAAAAACAATGATATAAACCTATTACCACATAAAGTGGTTCATAAGTCTTCACAATTATATAAAATCTGAAATGCACATAACACAGAAAAAAGGCAAAACCTTTTATAAGTCACTCTATTGCATATTTTAATACAAAAATTCATTTAATTCACACAAAATTAATTTTTTAAAAGTATCTATGATTGAGGTTATCTTATTTTCTAGATCTAAAACTATCTCCAGGAAATAAATGTACAGTTGAAAAATCAGTCTCTTCTATAATTTAATAGGGAGCTCTGGTGGCCTAGTGGTCAGGAATTGTGCTGCCAACCAAAAAGTGCATGGTTCGAATCCACTAGCTGCTCTGCAGGAGAAAAATGGACAGTATCCTCCCCTGAGATTTACTGCTTCTGTAAAGCCACTGGAGCATCTGCTAGGAGTCAATACTGACTCGACAGTACATAACAACAATCAAATGCCCATTTCCATTTGCTAATACTATCAAAGTAAAAGTGGTATAAAGTGAAATTCAATTGGAATTATTGAGTACCTGATATATGTCAAGCACCGTGACAGATTATTAAGATACAGGGAATAGGTCCTCAGGCCTATACTTGAAAAACATTTGAGTTTAAATAAAGTCAGAACTGTTCCTAAGTAGAAAGCATTTCATTAACAGTCAAATTTTCAAAAAGAATGGAATCTAGAAAACAAGGATTCTCACTTGAATCTCCTACCAACTTTTTATGGTTTTACTTCTCTGGAGCCAAATATACCTTGTGACTGGATAAATCACCAATTAAGACTCAATTTTCTAATCCACTAACAACATTATCTTTCTTCATAGGAACATTACAGATGAGAATATCTACATAAACTTTTGGCACAGAGTTAGTGATAAAAATCTAGGCAACTTTTTGAATGTTTTAAAAGACCTTACTCATGTGTACATGCTGGAATTTTTTCTAATTGTGAGAATTAGCTATATGGCTAAGTGAGCCTAGGTCGCTTTTAAGTGAGCCTTTGTACATTTAAAGAAAAGAATGCTTCTTTCCCATAAAAGTGCCTCGCAAGATAAGCACGAAAAGTACTAGCTTTTATTATCTGTGAGCCTCAGGCTCCTCACCTGTATAACCAAAGGGCTGAAGTTGATAACCCAGGCTCCCTTGAGTTCCCAAATCCATGTTTACAATTTTCTCTCCACCCACATGCAGAAGAAGAAATTTGATATAGAAGGATACTCCAAGGTCTTACTGGATTGTGGAATAGCAGAAAAACTTACTGTTCTTGAATAAAAGTGGCAGAGAGAAAAATAGCATCTGGATAAATCGCTCTATCCACCAGCCTCGGCTCCATATGAGATCTTATGCAATTTGTTAACATCAAATGGAAAGAAAAGATCCGATGAATGCAGCCACCACAGTAGTGGTGAAAAAAAAAATATATTCTGCTTTTCCAAATTTATTAAAACTTGAGCAATTCTTAGACTGTTTCCTTCACAGCTTTCAAAGGGAAATATAAACTATTTTTAAACATTCCATTTGTTCTATCTACATACTTCAACCTGAATAAACTATAACTTAATAAAGTCAACAGTATTATCAGTGACTTGCAAGATCTGAGTTTGTTTCATAAACAGAAAATGAAGACTACCTCCAAGTGATTTTGAGAAGTAAATTTACGTAAAAGTATAATAGCTTTAGCATACATATATCCGGACATAATACAGGCATTAATATAGTGCATGTATGTCTTAAAGTTCTATTTATCTCATGCTAAGTAAGCTTGATAAAATAAATTGCAACACATTTTCTACTTCTGAAAAAACAACCTGGAATTGCATTTACCTCTATATTATTATTCATTAGCCCACAAGCATCAGCAAAGTCTGGATGTTTTGTGTTGATGTAAGCCAGCTCAATTGCTACTAAGTTATGCACCTAGGAAAAAATAAAGCTATACATATTAAAAAGTGTCAATCAAATTTTACTTTGCAAGACATTTAATATTAAACAGAAAATATAAGAAAGAGCACACAAAATTAATAAGTACTCAGTAATTGTATTCCAATGGTAAATACTCTAGCTCTTAAATTATTTACATCTAAGTGCATTATTAATAAGGGAGACAAATTACAACAAGGCCACTTTAGAGAAAACTAACCTACCTGATGCGTGCTTAAGTTCTAAGCCTTTATACAAACGTTTATTGGCTCCATTTCAGTAGTAAGAAAATAACACCATCAAATATAGACTAAAGATGTTAACTTTATGTGGATAAAGAATGCATTTTAAAAAACAAATAGTAATAGATTAATTTTCATTATGAAGCACCTAGCTTAAATATTATAGATAGTCCAAAATCCTAACAGAATAATAGGCAAAAAGAAAAGCTGTAATTCACTTCTCAAACCTTCTGGAATTACCACCTACTCCTCTACTGTGTCCTTATGTGCAAATACCTGATATCCAGGTATAATAACAATAGTACTGAAAGGTCAAAAACCAGTTGAAAAATATTTATTCACATCTGAATCTGGAAGTTATTAAGGTTTGTTAGGGAGAAGCTCAATCACTTGTATTTACATTCTGTATTCTCAAGGATGATTTTGTACTCTTAGGAAACTTCCATTGAGGATCACTCTCCTGAGCCATGAACCCAAATGCAATTTTCATAACCAAGAAAGAAAAACAGATCAGCAATTTCAGATATGAGGACAGCTTCAAAGGCCTGTGTGGGTTTTTAAAATTTCTGCGAATTTCCTTTTTTATTTTTGAGCATAGCAGCAACACGCGAACTAGTAGTAGCAAACAATCATAGTATTAAATCTTCAGACAGTTGTTAGGTGCTATTGAGTCAACTACAACTCATAGCCACTCTTTAATAACTGATCTGAACTTTGCCCCTGTGCCAACCTTACCATCTGATACACTTGAGCGCACTGTTACAGTCACTCTGTCAACCTATCTTGAGTGTAGCCAGATTACCCTGATGCACTTTAGTTAAAACAGTTTGCTATAAACAATTCCATTTACTGCAGCTGCTAAAAATAGAACTAATTTTCCATTACATCAGTGGTGCTACATAAAAGGACTGCTAAGTCACAATACTCAATAGTAACTCAGTTCTTATGAAAAACTTTGGCTACACACTAATTAAAAGATGAAAGAAAAATGCTGTTTGTATCAGATATATTGAAAAATTTCCTTTCAAATAAGATTGAAATTCACTTTTCTACACTGGAAAGCATCCAAACTATAATCAGACTGTATGAAAAAGCAAATTAAAGTTTAAATTTTTAATAACAGTGATCACAGTGATAATTTGTGTAATGATAACTCACCATTTCATTTGTAACAGGCAACCTTTTACGAAGAAGACAAGTCACTACTTCAACTATAGCATCATGAAGTTTAGGAAATCGCAACAATTCCTATATAATGGAGAAAGGAAACAAAACTATAACAATTTATTTCATTTAAGGGAAAGTTAAATAACCGTTAAGGAGCTCTAGTGGTAAGAAGCTACACTGCAATCCCAAAGGCAGCAGTTTCAATACACCAGCTGCTTCTGAAGAAGGAGGATGGACAGTCTCCTACCATGCGATTTTTTGCATTTGAAAACCTGTTGGTCAGCTATGAGTCACTTCCATCACAACAACAATAACTGTAAATCACTTTTGTTCATATACATACTTCCTTCTGAGCCTGAAATCTTTATCTCTGATTTTTAACTAGTTGATGTGAAACCTGTTATATTTCTCTCATTACCTGTGTGCTGTAATTACTACAGTGCTGAATGATCCTCTGCATTTCCTCATGAACCAGTTCCACACAACGGAGGCTAGGCTCCTCCAGACGTTTGATTTGCCTCTTGACCAGTAATTCAAATGAAACCTCAGGCACAAATAAAGCAGGCCGCGGTCCCTGAAAAAAATTTTAAAATAAGACTTTTACATGTAATTTTTGTTTTTAATAAAGACAAAAAAAATTGGGGAGATTCTGTTTTAATTAAAAATAATTCTTCATTGCAGTTGCAACAATGAATGAATGGAAACCCTAAGTCTCTGTAAACTTTAATTAAAATTAAAAATATCTTCAAGTATGAGAACAAAATAACATACACTGGATCCTTAAAAGGCTTTATAAGCATAAATAAAGCTCTAACCTCACCAGAAAAAAAAAATCCATTTAAGATTAACTAGAATTAATATTTTTTAATTTTAAAAGTAAAAGTATACTCACAGTAGCATTTCTGATGGCAGTCAAAATGTCAATTGTATTAAGGCCACCTAGGGGGTCAACAGATTCTAAGGTTCGTCCAAAAGTCTCATGGAAAATATAGCATATTCTAGCACCACCACATCTGAAAGGCAATGAAGCATGTGGTTTCTGATACTAGCAAAGGATGAAAAAAACCTTGTAATTAGAAGTCAATAAGCTTTAAGCTTGCTTTGCTTAAGCAACTACATTTAGAACAATTTCTGTTCTATCTGCAGTCTAGAAAAGGAGTCAGCAAACTTTTTCTATTAAAGGGCCAGACGGGCTTTTCAGACCATAAAATTCCTGTCACAGCGACCTAGTTTTGTCACTAAGTGTTAAAAGGTCATAAACAACAGATAAAGTAGTATGTTTGCATTTGTCAGTGTTCCAATAAAATTTAGTTTCATGCACTGAAATTTTAATTTTGTGCTGCAGTGGATTATTCAAATTACTTTTCTAGTCATTGAGTTTTTAATTCTTACCACATGGCTGAGTGATGGTTGTGTGCCATCGAGTTGGAAACCACTCATAGCTGACCCTCCACCTTGTTTTCAGAGGCAGTAAACTGCATGGGAGGAGACTGCTCATCTTCCTCCCAAGAAGCATTTAGTGGATTTAAAACTTATAGCATTGGGATTGCAGTACAGCTAGCTGCTTAACATTAGGTCACCAGAGCTCCCATGGCTGAGTTTTTGTTAGGTGCCATCAAGTCAAGTACATCTGATAGAGACCCTATGAACAACAGATTTGAACCCTGTTCTATTCTGTGCCAATATCACAAGCTGACACTTGAGCCCACTGCAGCAGTCACTTTGTCAGTCTATCTGGTTGAGGATCTTCCTCTCCTTTGCCGTCCCACAACCATTCCAAGGACAGTGACCTTCTCCAAGAAATAGCCTTTCCTAATATGCCAAAGTATGCAACATGAAGCTTCACCATCCCTCCAAAGAGCATTCTGGCTGCACTTTATCCAAAAACATACCTGTCTGTACTCTTGGCAGTACTCTTCTCCAACACCACAGTTCAAAGGCATCAATTCTTCTGTCATCCTTACTTGATCAGCTCTCAGAAGCATATCAAGTGATTCAAAAGACCATGGTCTGAATCAAGTGCACCTCAGTCCTCAAAGTATCATCACTGCTCCTCACTCATTTGCAGAGGTCCCTGACTACAGACTTCCTCTTGCAAGACATCTCCTGACCTGGCTGCTGGTATGAAGGGTACTGATAGTGGATCCAAGTACGATGAAGTCATTGACATTTTCAGTCTTTTCTCTGCGTATTCTTATGTCATTTGTCAGTCCAATTGGTAAGAATTTCTATTTTATATTGGTCTGCATACAGAAGTTGTACACTGTTTTGTTTATATACATTGTGTTCCTTGCATTCCTCCATTCACACT